TAGTTTACAGACATGATTAACTTTATGTATTTATATATTTGCAATTATACATTTACATGTAACTCTTCCTTGCTCGTCAAGATTTATTAACAACTGGAATGGTTATTTGGAACAGTCTAAATTGTTATATACTATATGTATACGTGTATTATTGTTTAAATAATAAAGAAAAGTCTACAGTAACACAATACCACAATGTGCAATAAATTCCACAAGACATGATAATCCTTTAATAATTATTAAAATAAGAATTTAAGAGAATTTAATAGATTATAATAATTCTTCACCACATTTTAAAAATATGAATTAAAAAAGACATCAAAGCAACCAAACTGAAGAGTTTTATCCATCTACTATAGGGGTCGTTTCTAAATATACTATAGCTATACAGTCAGTAAAATTTATATCCACTGTTACCGACAAGATTATACAGAAATTATTTCTATATTGATTCCTTACGTTTTATGGAAGATTGAGTGAAAGTTGTATTTAGAATTAACCGAGAAATTCACCAAATGCATCCGTTGCAATATAAACACTTAACGTCGTACTTCAAATGTAACTTTCATACACACTCGACTAGAAAATATTCTTCTATGTGGTTATACGAATCTTAAAATGATTGATACGTTTTAGGATATGCGAAAACTTTGAGTATTTCTACAGTTTCAATCGTTTCGTTAATTGAAAACAAATTGGCACGTGATTGCAATTGTTAATTTGGGAAAGAGATTGTCCTTTATATCAGTGACAGGTGTGATTAGAGTAAAAGTGGGCGCCATGATTATTTCAGCGCACGGGGAGCGCGCGAACTAGTGGCGCCACTAGTTTCTAAGTTCATCGTGCGCTGAAGTAATCATGGCGCCTAGTGTTGTATTAGAAGAATAAAAGATGTTTGTGTTATCATGATTGCCCCGTATTTGAAGTTACGAAGGAATTACGTTAATTACACACAGATCTAGACTGACATTTTTAATGCCACGTAGAATTATTTTCGAAGAAATCTCGAATACACAGCCGATAGAACAATGATTACTTTTAATTTTATTATAGTACTGATTGTAACCACGGCAAGCTCCACCAAAGTAATTTGTTCCTCGTTCCGAAATCATCAGAATAAAAATGTTCTTTTAATAAGAGCCCCATACATATGAACACAAGTTATCAAGATATTTTATATCCTTATTGTCAGAGACAATAGTATATAATTATTCCACTTCTTATATTTCGCATCCGTAAATGAATCTTACTTGTATTATTTAAACGATTAATAACGAAATCGGAACTTCATAATCAGGTACTTTATTCCTGACACGTAAAAGTATTTCAGGCGAGTTTCCTGATTGGTAGACTACAATTGCTCGCGTGCTCCTGTGGTAATATAATCAGAATCGTTTGCACAGATTGCATAAACAATTCCATCATCGACGAATATATTTATTCATCCACGGACCATTTAATCGTTTTTCCATTTTAACAGCAAATTCATTCGCAGTTGGTGAATTTATTAATATTAAAGTTCATGCATGGTTTACGAAGCGACACGCTTCGTATTTACAATAGGTAATTCTTCTTCGTCGCGGATATTTATACAAGGTAAATAGTAACTTAAAAATACGACTGTAATTGAATCAAATTCAACCAGCCGCTGAAAGCTGGCGTGACGCGTCTGCGCGGGAGAGACACGTAACGCGCCTTGGGGGCGGAGCGAGTGCTGGACAACGTGGTGGGGGGTTACTGTACGATGACCTCGAGCAGCCAATTGAGTTTGACTCGACTACACCTCAAGATATACACGTCGGTTGTCGAAAAGTGGCTCGCTGACGTATTTGATAAATTCCTCGCGTAAAACATTTGCAGAAAATCTTTCTGAACACGCTGCACGTGGTCCTCGCGCCATGTTCTTTCTCTCGAGACTCAACGTGCAAACGTAGTAAAGCTATGCACATCTGGAAGTTGTGATTTCATTAAATAATATAAATTAAACAAAGTCAGAGTCGAATATAAAAATATATTGCACATCTATGAGTCTTTAATTTGGAAAGTAACAACAGAAATGATGTCCTATTGTCTTTTCTATAGTTAAATAAATTGTTATAAGAAAAAGAGTATTTTTTCTGAGCTGATCGAATCTTTGTAACAAATAGTATTATATTATCTGACAAGGGAAAAATATAGAAGGTTATTTTACATTTTTTAAGTGAATCACGTGTGCTTAAAAGTACACAACCCTCTTAATTATTCGAGTACTGTTATAGTTTAATTTGGCAAGCACTTCTTTTCAATAAACTCGTCACCGTGTATAGAGAAATTCGGATTGAAGGTGATACTTTGTTTTTGTTGATGTTACGTGCAACGATTCACACGGCTCCCGTAACGCGACGATACATACATAATCCATTTAGTTCAATTAATAATTCTCTTATTTTAACGCGTCGATATGCACAACAACGGCCTCGATAATACCGTTATCGGACAGTAACGTCGATAGCGTAATCAAGAAAAAGTTCAAAACGAATGTTCTCAATCTACGATTGACCACATTCAGTGGTGATATGCGCGTTTTCAGTGTAAAGTTGTACCTTCCACACGAAACGAAGTCGAGAGTATACTAGAAGCTGTACAATCTTAACAAGCTATACAATGTTATTTTACATATATCTCGTTACTAGTAAAACTTTTACACAGATACACGACGGTACGATTGGAAATACACTCTTTCTCGAACGAGAATAAGAAAACTTTTCTTGGAATCACAAACTGTAACAAATTATCACCGTGAACGTGGGGTCTCAGTAAAGGTAATCTAACGATTGTACACGTTCTTTTTGTTGCTGAAACGTCCACTTTCACGGTAACACGTATAATAATTTGCAACAAATAATATGCATTCCTTCGAAATGATCAGTCAATTTAGTTGGAATAAAAACGGCCGAATCTCGAGGAAAATGAACGTCCACGAATCAAGTCTGACTGAAGTCATCATCTCATTACGCTACTGATTGTCAAATACAATTTCCAATCTCCAACGAAATCGGTGCCTCGTTTGGTATCCCATTTGGACTCGCCGTTCGATGAGTAATACTGCTCATATTGAGTTAACTGAAAATCAGCGATCTATATCTCTCCAACTTCGACTTTCAACCTAACCTCCACGTCAACGTGGATCGTCGAAAGTCATCGTCGATAGTGTCCACCCATTTAACGTCGTCTCTGGACGAGGTCTACAATCTCAGTAACAGTAATCAGTACAGTATAACAAAATAAATAAGAATATCTCGTGGTATCGTTTGTACACTTTCCCCTGTGCGGGTACTCAAAACAATCCTGCGCTCCAACGAAAATTCTCAAAGCTTCAATCGATCATGTTTCAAGATTAGTGCGGTCTAATTGAGGGCTGAACACCTAGAAATCTTTCAGTAGATGGTTGGCAGGCAAACTGGTGGCGTTGAAGAGAGATGTAGTGGCAGCAGAGGGAGAATTGGCCAATAGTAAACAAACAGTGATTCTACCGTAGAGTTGCAACATTTAAATGGGAACACCGTTATTTATGGTTCTATGAAATGTTCCATGATGTGTATACCGAAATGTGTATGCGAAATGCAATGACCTCACTTGAAAATTCGATGGCGCTACGCTAATGGAGCAGTGGTGCCTCAGGGAGACCTAGTGGCACTTCAGAGAGGGGCAGTGGCGCCTCAGAGAGGCGTATTGCCACCTCAGTGAGACCCGAAGGCACAGTGGTGTCACACGGATGTCCAGTGACGCCTCAGGGACACCCGGTGACACAACAGAAGCGCAGTGGCGTCTCAAGGAGACCCAATGGCACAGTGGCGCCTCAGGAACTCCCAGTGACGCAACAAAAGCTCAGTGGAGCCTCAAGGACACCCAGTAGCGCATTAGAGAGGCACACTGGCGCCTCAGGGAGTCCCAGTAGGGCCTTAGGGACACCCAGTGGCGCGACAGAGGCGCAGTGGCACCTCAGGAAGATTGAATGTCGCAATGGCGCCTCAGGGACACCCGGTGACGAAACAGAGGTGGAGTGGTTACTTTAGGGACATCCAGTGAGGCAACAGTAGCGTCTTAGGGACATCCAGTGGCGGCTTAGTGACACCCAGTGGCGCAACAGAGGGGCAGTGGCGCCTCAGAGAGAGCCAATGGCACAGTGGGGCCTCACGGGGACCCAATGGCACAGTGGCGACTCCGAGAGGAGCAGTGGCACCTTAAGGACACCCAGTGACGCCACAGAGGCACAGTAGCGCCTCAAGGACATCCAGTGGCGCATCAGAGAGGCACAGTGGTACCTCAGGAAGACCCAATAGTGCAGTGGCGTCACAGAAACACCCAGTGGCGCCTCAGAGAACCTCAGTGACGCCAACACGTATCTTTGTAGTCCCACCAGTTTGCGCACCCCCCGTGATCTAAAGCTTTCGTGTTGCACAGCCCTGCTCTAACCGATCGACATGTCTGTAAACGTTTCCTCTTCCCCTTCACTCTTGAATTCAACGCGTTGAGATTCGCGAGTCCAGTTGTAGGAAGCACGGACGTTACTGTGACGACAAACAGAAGTGGACGGGGTTGAAAACGCATTGGCTCATGTCCGAACGACGTCGTCTATGCTACTCGCGAAAAACATTGGACATCTACATTGAAAGAAACTCGATGAACCGGATACACTTGCAGGTTAGGCTCTGGATTACAACATTAGCGTAACATTGACCCCGTTCCCCGTTAAAATCATTGAATAATCAACGTCAAAAGTTTCCGACTTTTTTCGTCTTGACGACATGTTCTCTGCTTCGAACTATCGTTCATCTCTGTGTACCATAATCGCAAGGAGATTAACTCGCGCTCGTCAAAAGTGTTTAAAGCCTATAATTGCCTTTTTTTTTCTTTTTGGCAACGATTGAAATTCAAAATTCAATATGGACCTTCTTTGCGTCTAGGTGTCTTACTCTAGAAAGTTGCTTGAGGACAAGGAATAATTACGTATCGATTACCATTTCGTGGAGCCTGACGTTTATCTTCATTTCGTGGGCGTGTTGCTCACGGAGGATGGCAGATTAATTAAGGTTGAACTACTTAGCCTGGATGTCCTCGGCTCGATCTCCAGCGACATGCGGTACAGGTCCTTCTCGTTCAGGAGCAACGAAGGGTCCAGCAGGTAGTTCGACACCTTTGTTATTAGTTCGATCTTGTACGGCGTTTGCTGGAAGTGACGTATCTCGCGGATCACGTGAGCAATCTGAAACATTAAAGACAGGAACAATTTTAGATCTAATTATACTTTAATGAGAATAGATTTAGGGACTGTGTTAGGAATTTATTTATTGTGACTGGCACATCTGGGGGCCAACGTAAAGGTAGTTCTCTCTGATACATAGAAGGTAACTCGTAAAAAGACAGAACACCTAAATAGCTCTGTTAGGATAGAAATCGAAATGCAATACTTATCATAATAATAGATTTGAAGACTTAGGGATTTATTTATCGTAAGTGGTGCCTACACCTGGAATACCCACACGAAAGTAGTTTTCTCCGATACGTAGAAGTAGAGCATATAGGGTGGCTCGTGAAAAACAGGACACCTAAGTAGCTTCGTTAGGGTAGAAATCGAAATACAGTACTTACCATACGCATTTTTGAAAAATTCAAAAGGCCGTCCTCGGTCATTGTTGGCGTACCCTCTTCTATGAAGGAAAGATCAGTCAGGTACAATCCTAAATAAGGGATACAGGGCGGATCACACCGATGCAAGGCTTCCCTCAGATTCCTGAAGCGTCCGTCCGACGAGACGATCGTCTGAAGTCTTTCTATAGTCTGCTTCGTCTATAAATTCATTTTTGAACATTCCTTTTAATCTACTAGTATTTATTTTATATATTTTATTTTATACTATTTGTTAGTTGAAGTAATATTTCACCCAGCAAATTGGTAATTAATTTAAATAAAATTTGTACAAGCTTACCGTTTTGGAAACTTTTTCCCAAGTCTTTTTCAGTCTGAAGACACTACTGTTGGTGAAGGCTGCGCAAATTTGTAGTACGCCATTGTAATTGTGCAGAACCCTGCTGATATCCGCAACTGCTGCCCACTTCTCGATCGCAGCGACCCTTGCCGACAAGTTCGAACGTTGAATGATTTCCGAAACGACCAACTGGGAGACTTCGTTGAATCTTTTCGTCATTAGGATAATATGGGGGGCTCGAGTCGCCTTGTCGGTTTTCATCCATGCTTGACCAAGAAGTTCTCTGCGCAAAAATGATATTTATTTATTACATAATCCTTATTAAATTGTATATATTATAGGTACTCAAGAACTGTACTTTTATATATAACACATAAAATACTTGTACATTAAGCATATCACTCTTAAAAACAATATTTAGTTTACTTCTTCACTTGTACAATATTTGTTTCATTTACTTACTCGCTAGAAATGGATATGAAGATCTTGTGATCCAAATATGTCATTTGTTCAGCGATCTCAAGGGCAGATAGTGTCTCGATGCTCTCCTTGCTTTGTACCTGTAATCACAAAGGAATTTCATTGAATAAATCAGGTACTGTTTAGGCAAGAAACAATATTATAGAAAATAAGTAGTATCTGCCTTTAACACCTTGTAAGTTTGCTCGGTTCGGATCGGACGAACCGTCGCGATGGATGCCGTCTCAGTCGGTTGCCGGGATTCAGGAGAAGGTAAAATAGAAGGGAATTGCCTTACTTGCGGTCGAGAGTGGTTAAACGAAGCCAAATCGCGTCTAAGGGAGGGAGCGAACGTACAGCCTCCTTAAGGTCGATTCAGACTATACGACACGTTCCGGCACCGACACGACAAAACATTAAAACACGCGTTTTAATGGAACTATTCAGACTTATTCAGACTTGTTGTTGACTTGTTGAACGTTCCGTCAACGGGAATAGTGTGAATAGTTCCATTAAAACGCGTGTTTTAATGTTTTGTCGTGTCGTTACCGGAACGTGTCGTATAGTCTGAATCGGCCTTTAATTATTCGTGTTTGCAGATACGTACTGTCGGAGGAGCCAGAAGCTTCTTGAGGTCCACCTTGCTGGTCTCAGGTTCCTCCTTGGTAATGAGCCTGAGGAGCTGGCTCGCAGCTTTGTGTTCAGCTGGGAGCAGATTAGGGCAGTAGACGATGTCCTCCAGGAACTCGATCGTCAGATTCTTCAGCCTCTGATCGGACTCGAAGTCTTGGGCGTGTTTCGAGACCCAGTGCCTCAGTACGTTCAGCACTCGCATGGTGGCTGCTGTCGACATCACCGATTCCTTTCGTCTGTTCTTATCGCGACAGGAACCGCTGCGATTGTTTCCATTGATCTCTCTGTCCGGAGGATTGCTGGACGCGGATGTCGCAATGGCGAACGCAGTGGCAGCCTTCGACGTGCTGCTCCTGGATATTCGAAAGGGGATGTTAATTCTTGATTTCGGACGATAATATTATTTAGTGTAGATATTCATTGTTACTAGTGCTTCCAAGATGGCACTTGCTACTGGGCCTTTTCGTAGACAACGTCAAGCACTGGAAATAATTGGTTTCAATTAAGCAATTCCTGAACTAAATTTTTAATTTTTGATGAAGGTTTTTGGATTTTGTGAGGTTTGAGAAAATTGTTCGAGAAGCCATCAGTAACTTTATCAGTGACCAGAATGATTAAAGTAACTTTTTATGAACTTGATTCATATAGTTAATAATTTTAATATATATTGCATATGATTTCTTTGTGTCCCTGTATTCTTCTTTCCTTATATAATTATTTATATCTATCTTTTGATTGAGTTCACATACCAGAGCATAAATAATCAAACACCTTAAAATAATTGCAGAATGTTCTCTGCTTTGTAATCTACAAACTGCTCTATACATAGTTTTAAAAAAAAAGTAGTTCTACTATATATTCTATCTACGAATCATTCGAAATACGCTGAAATGGGAACGTGTAAATCGGCCTATTGTGAATGATTCTTCTAATCTAATGTGCAACTAGTGTACATCCCAGCTAATGTACGTCTGAGCGTTTAATCAACTAACAGATATTTGCAATCCAACTTATGCATTCGACGGCTATTTTGTACAAAACTGTAAGTATGTGGTGAATCTTCTAATCGCAGACATCGAGTGATAGAAGGCGTCTAGTAGGTTAAAACTATTTCTATTTCGTTTAGCTCGCTCGTGTGATCCTGATGCAGTGCAGTTTATAAAATATGTAACAAATATTTATATTTCCTACCCTTCGCAGGGAATTAATTGAGTTTTAATTACTTTTGTAGACAGACTTCGAACAAATATCTTGGAATTCTTGAAAATAAAAATATAATAGATAAAAATGAAGCAATTTATTATAATAGGGCTTGAAGAATTGTAAACATTCTACGGGATGTCTTTAAAGTTGACGAACAAATACATTTAACTAGAAATTCTTGAGAATAAATGTTAATAAAAATGGAGCAATTCATATTCATTATAATGGAGTTGAAAAAATTGTCAACATTCTAAGAAAAATCTTTAAAGCTTAATTGATATTATACATATTCAATATTATTAATTAAAGTAACGAAAATAATTAATTCCCTGAGGCAAGAACTTCGTGGTCACCTTATACAGGGTGTCCCAAAAGTCGGGGAGGAGCCGGAAATGGGGGGTAGCTGAGACGATTCTGAACAACAATTTCCTTTGCAAAAATGTCGGATGGGGCTTCGTTAAGGAGATATTAAGCGAAAACCCCGACCAATCAGAGCGCGCGTAGACCGTTGGAGCGGCCGCGGTAGCGAAGGCTACGCGCTAGGTGGCAGCGTCAATGTCCTTCGATGCACGTCGAGTCACTTGTTCGCATACAAGCGTGGCCGCCAGCGCGGCGCCTTCGCTACCGCGGACGCTCGAACAGTCTACACGCGCTCTGAGTGGTCGGGGTTTTCTCTTAATATCTCCTTAACGAAGCCCCATCCGACATTTTTGCAAAGGAAATTGTTGTTCAGAATCGTCTCAGCTACCCCCCATTTCCGGCTCCTCCCCGACTTTCGGGACACTCTGTATGTTCCTTTTATAAACACACATGCTACTTTTCCTATAGTACAATTTATTTTTAATGTGAATTATTTATAAATTAGTGCAAGACAAAATTTTCAATATATATTTACAATTTATCCTATATTTTATATACAATCTTTTTTCTAAAACTCCAGTTTATCCATGATATGGATGACAGGGATTTTCATTAAGGAATTAAAAAATTAATTCTGAAGATCAGATCTTAAAGAAAAGTGGTCTGGATAGGATTCGTGAATTTTACTTTGGTTTTGAAACGAATACTAATTCAAATGTTAGATTATACAGGGAGAATTAGTCTTAGAACCGGAAATTGGAGGTAGCTGAGACGATTCTGAAGTACAATTTCCTTTGCAAAAATATTAGGTGGTGCTTCGTTTTTGAATTATTAACGAAAAACCGTGGACCAATCACAGCGTCCAAGTAGCGCGCGCTCAACTGGTAACGCCCCGATCTTGGCGCAACCAGCCAATCCTGGTTCGAGCCTATGCTCTTGTGGCTGAGCGCGCGCTACTCGAGCCCTGTGATGGATCGATGGTTTTTCGTTAATGATTCAAAAACGAAGCGTCACCCGACATTTTTGCAAAGGAACTTTTGATTCAGAATCGTCTCAGCTACCCTTTCCTCCATTTCCGGTTCTAACACTAATTCTGGGACACTCTGTGTAGTTTCCATTGCATAAGAACAAAATTCATAATTCATAGCTTCCTAAGTATTTCCATGAGTATATCTGAAAGTGTTATCATCGATATGTATCTTATTTTTTTATCATAATTACTCCTCCACAGTTTAAGTAACAGTAATCATATACCTATTTGAGAAAAACAGAGTGAATATTAGTTGCATCCGGCGGTGCACGTTGTGCGAGCGTAAACAGTCAATAAAGAAAGGAGCGTACAAGTGATTTGGTGGCAAACAGCTCGTCATGCGGCACGCAGAAAGTGGAAACATTGTTTTTTTTCCAGAAGCAGAAAGGATGACACTTACCAGATGGGTTCAGGTCCAACGCTATGAGTGACACAAAACGTCATATGAAATACAATTGCATTAAGAACAACTGAAATAGTATCTTGAGCAAGGAAATTAGTACGATGAACTATTCGATCACTGTATTCGACATAATCGAACTGAGTTACATCAATTTACATCAATTATTAAAAAAAAAATTATAACTTTCAGAAATTTCAAAATTCACCGTCGTATCGCATAAAATAAAATATTCCACAGTAATACAAAATTGTTGTACCTTTCTCTGTAATACAAAAAAATTCAATATTTAGTTGAAGATTCGGTTTGAAAAGGGAATGTTCGAAGTAGAAGACTCAATCGTGCTAATCGTCAAAATAGAATGTGCTTCAAAATTTTTTTAATAATAGCGAGGTAATAAAAAAGGTTCTTATGTACAAATAAATAGCGCGTAAAAGTTAGAAAGTGAGACTGAATGAAAATATAGAACAAATGAAGATGGCTATATTTTCAAGGAAAATGTATGCCTTAGAATAAAGTTAGACGAGAGCACGACGATCGTTTTAGCGCACTGTGAGTACGCGAACCAGTAGCGCCACTAGTTCGCCTGCTCGCCGCACCCTGAAACGACCGTGGCGCGCGTAAATCAGACTAAAGTACAAACAAGATTCTCGATTTTTATGTATACAGTATTTTGTACAATAAAGACACGGATAATCTCTGTCTACGAAAAAACAAAGGAAGATCATAGGCGGAAGAAAACACGTAAGTCACCGAGACAAAGCACTCATGCGTAAGAAAGTGAGAAATACCTTTATTGCAGTAAACATTCAATAGCGATACCGAAAAACGAAATAGAGATAATTTTTGCTCACTTAAAAATACAAACGCCTATACAAATCAGCATCTTAAACATTATTCGAGGTAAACAGTCTGTTAAAAAATTGTCGATCGTTATTTCATCATAGTTCACCGATTTTTTGCGCTGTACAATTTCATCGTCCTCGAAATTTGTATGTCACTGTTCTCAATTATTTTACTTCTTTTTTTCTCTTTTAGGCGAATACAACACGTGATCATAAATTTCTCACGCCGATACTGTATACCAGATGTCGCATAATCACCAGAAAATAAAAGACCTCAATCGCCATGCGGCACTTCTCGTGATGTGTACAAACAACATACATATGGATGTAAACACTTAAACACGTCAGGAATACTCGAACGAACCTTCGTTGACTTTGTCGAAAACTGGTTATCACTACTCCCGCTTTGCCGGTGACTTGATCGTGCTGAAAGTTCCCTTGCTGGGAGGACATTTCCGTTTCTTGGATGGATCGCCTGCTTACCCAGTAACTCTGCAAAAACGAACCGGTGTATTTTGTCTTTCACACGCAGAAAATGTGCGTGTCAGCATTTTTTTAATTGTTCACCCGGTTTAATTTTTAGATTCGTGGTGATACAATAACCTTACCCTGTAAATTAATTGCACATCCTGTATACACGCGAATAAACAAGATGTGTAGATAATAATTGATACAAAAAATTGTGAATAAATGAAAATTATTCTTGTCAAAATATTTATAGACATGGATGAAAAATATTACTTTATTAAATGTAATTGTATGTATACATATAATGAGATATTAATAATATTGACTCCTAAAATTTTTGTTAAATGATAAATAATGTTTTCAAAACATTTATATGATAAGAAATATTACATTTATTAAATGTAATTGTATATTTAATACAATGTAACGATATATCTATATTATATTCAATAAATTAAATATATTCTAACTCCTTCCCCATATATTACATTTAATAAATTAATATTTCTTCTTTACATAAATATTTTAAACCAGCAAATAATATTTATCTTCCATCCACAATTTTAGGTGCCAATTATTATCCACGCGTCCTGTTTAATTATAACGATTACAGGATCTCTAAGAAGTCTGACCAATGGTTGACCTTTTCTACTGAATCCTGACTCAATGTATTAGAACTAAGGGTGTGCGGGATTCCAGAAAATATTCAAGATTCCCGTAAAATGTCCGGGATTCCCGAAAATATCCGGGATTCCCGCGAATGTACGGGATTTCGAAAATGTTCGGGATTCCCGACAATGTACGGGATATATGTAGAATAATATCTGGGATTTCCGAAAGTGTTGTTATTCTTGAAAATTTCAGCAATCCGAATGTACGGGATTTCGAAATTCCGGAAATCCCGAATGGTTTTGGGATCCCGGAAATTCACGAGAATCCCGGATGTATACGGGATTCTGAATTCTCGATATTCCATCCCAATCCCGGGAGGAATTCCCGTCCCGACCGGGATCTCGCACACCCCTAATTAGAACACGTAACAATAATTTTCTTGTGAGATTCAGAAGTGAATAGTAAAAATGAATGACTTACTTTACATACTCCAGTTATCGTGGAAAACGAACTGCTCCTCGCAGTGGCCGCAGGAGCAGATGCAATGGACGCTCTGTGCTCAGCATAATGCGACTGGTAGTGTCTCTGATGGTTCTTCATTGGAGACTGAGGCTGTGCAGTCGAGACACCCGTGTCACCCTCCCCTGAAGCTTTCTTCTCCTTCTCTTTCGCCTGCTTGCTGGTTTCTGCTTCCTTTTCCGGTTTCTGGGGGACCTTACGCTGTGGTGTAAGTGGTGTTTTCACGGAAGTCTCTCCTTTCGATATTTTAGGTGTCTCAGGGTCCGAGTCGTCGTAGGTAAACTGAACATCTGAAGATATCGTTCACACTTCTTAGATATGTACTATTAGCGTAGTTCTTAATTTTTTAAGGAATTTATTTTTAATTTCGACGTATCGAAGACATTGTGACCATTAAAATTCTAAAGCCGCCATCTTAAGTCACCATGTTAATAAGCAAAGTTATTAGAAATTTACGAGAGCGTTTGAACGGCAAGAACCTTGTCTATACCGGCATTCTGCCGGCTAATCGTCGCGGCAGCAGTACTTATGCGCGGCGCTTCCCTCTTTTTATAATGAGAGAGCGCCGCGCGGTAGTGGCGTGCGGTTTCGGTCTAGCGGCGGCCGGCAGAACTATCGCCTGGAAGGGAAAACAGCGCACAATTCCGAAAGAGAGAGGATTGCGACTAAAGCCGAACGCACACGGGCGCAACCGATTTGAAATTAGTGTTGCAAACTGTTTGCGCTCTTTGTTTTACCTACTTCACTATCTTTGTTTTACCTAGATCTACGGTCACTGGAATACACAATCCGATCGCCACAGATTTCAGAGTGGTTTGAAACTGATCAGTTGCGCCCGTGTGCGATCGGTCTAACTCTTGCGTTACAATATAAATAATATTCGTAGCACACAATAACTCAGTTTACCATCTTTCGACGCCTCTGTTGTAACAGGTGTGACAGTCTCTTCAGAGACTCCACGGGAATAGGTGCCTCCCTCCTGCGGGCTTCGATCGGATCCAGAGTTCGATCCTGATCCCGTCGATCCGACCAACGTAACGGAACTTAAGTTGCTCGGGGAGGAAGGTGCACTTATTACCGTATTATCTAAAATCATGTTCAATTGCATTAAATTACATTAAATAATATAACCACAACTTGATAGTCATACAATGATCATCTCGATAGTAATCGCTACTATAGAGTCTTTATTTTCTTTTTCTTACCTGTGAGAGTTTCAGAACTCGATGAAACAGCGATGACTTTTGGTATAGTCAAATGAGAACTATCCTCTTCTTCCTTCTTATTCGGATCCACTTGGATGCTGATCTTCCGTGGCGTCGCTGGGGACAACGATCCAGTGGACGCTGTCGATGATTGTATAGTAGGACTGCGTTTTATTATTGGCAAAGCCTCCGCGATCACACGTGGTTGCTTTTCCTCGTCCACTGAAATAGTCGATCAGTATTTGTACATGATCTTAGTTCAGTAACAATATTATTCTGCATATTCGATGAGTCAGTAACAAAAGGCATCTAAAATAACTTATCGATTTCTTGTGTCTTGTATTATAACTATATTACTTATGTATTAATATTTTCTAAAATCTTAACTTGTCTTTGAATTGTGCCAATGACTTGTGCCAAGCTAACCTTGAAGTCTTCAACTTCAAAACATGGGCTACTACTTCATACTTCGTGCTTTATCACTCATAAATTATCAGATAAGAAAAATGAATGAGGAACAATTAATTTCGTGTGACAATTGTTATTCACTCATCTGTGATATTAAGTCGTTCTAGCGCTATAAATAATGCGGTAACGAGCAACGAACCCTTTTTATATCCACCACGCCAGTAACCTTTTGGGTTGAGTGTATATCCACCTGCAGTGAAATCACAGGAACTTTTTACATCGCGGCAGTCGCTTATTTCGGATCCGTAACCTATATGTGCCAGAATATCACAATTTTGTTAATATCACCGCAATTTAGCGATCAGGGTACATCAATATTTTACAACGAACGGTGACAGAGACACAAGGTTTGAAAAGTACTAAGAATTTCAGGTTTTGTGTTCAAGGTGTGGACTGGCAGGTGTGGACTGGCATGTGCAGAGGCTTTTCAAACGCTGAAAATTATTTTCTGTGGTGGTTTCGGTGACGTGTCGATAACATAAGTGCTTTAAGAGGGTTCGAGAATGTTTAAAATTTTATTTATATAAGGTACCCCAAAAATATTGGAGGTTCTTATAAGGAGTGGTTCCGGGGGTGATTTGAAACAACTTTTTTCTTAGCGAAAGTGTTGTCCGAGGCTTCGTTTAGGAGATATTAACAGAAAACCCCGGATCAATCAGAGCGCGGCTGCCTACGCCACTGTGGGCGTTCCACCGGCGTACTCGCGCTCTGATTGGTTGGGGTTTTCCGTTAATATCTCCTTAACGAAGCCCCGGACAACTTTTTCGCTAAGGAAAAAATTGTTTCAAATCATCTGAACCACCCTTTTCAAGGACCTCCAACATTTTTGTGACACCCTGAATGGAAGCTGACCTTCAACTTGGTAAAGAATTACTCAAATTCGTGAGAAGATCAATGCTAATGGTTATTTAATGATGTAACAAATTGCTGACGAGATGGACATCTCAAAGCAACTATAACGTAAAACTCTAATATGAGACTTCTCTAATTGAGGGCACATGCCTAATACTTTCTCACTTTTTTAGACTTCGTTACCTAAAGTGAACATGGTTCATACTATAGCTCAAAATCTCGAAGGCATCTCCAATTTAAAATTAGAAACTTGTCCTACTCCAAAAATACGAAGCTCTAACATCCTTAATACTCCTCCCAGAGGATTATTTGAAAGAGACAATGAGTGTCCAAAATTCTTAGTACTTTCATATCACTCTTACATCTCCCATATCTTCATCCACATGTGCAGGATACATTAAACAATTTTGTTTTTTGCAATTGTGTAACAATTTTGCCTCTTTCCTACTTGATACAATCGATTCGAGACTTCCAGGTGTTGGTCATTTCTGTTAAAAGAACGTAGACCCTCCAGGAAATCTCAAACAGTAACTCTGGCACTTGTTCTATTCTAATACTTCCAAAAAATTCTTAATTGGAAGTAAAATAACTCTTCCCATTCAAATATAAATATAACGAAGAAGGAATGAAATATAAATATAACATATATATTATTAAAATAGAAATAAGTATTTGGATAGAGAAAATTTAGAGAGGAAACAATCTTTTTGTCAGGAAAATATATGGATTATTAGTACTCAGCGATAGAGTTTAAGCATATTATACCGGACACGGAACTAGCGCCACTTGTCCTTCGCGGTGAAACGCTGTACCTCCGTCGATCGTCAGTGTGCAGGTGCGTTTCCGCTGCGTTTCCTCCTAATACGTCCAACGATCTAGAAATAAAATTGTATTTTATCAAAAAAGTAAAGAAAGAGTATTTTTAATGTTAAGTCTACTGTCCTCTACATTTTTCTAGGTGGCATCGTTGTGAAATATTAAGATGACAATTTATCGACGATTTGGATCGTCACTAGAGCTTACGATTGTTTCAGCGTGCGGCAAGCACGCGAACTAGTGGCGCCACCATCGCAAGATGGCGCCTGCTTGTGGCGCCACCGCTGCAAGATGACACCTACCTGTGGCGCCACTAGTCCGTTTACTCGTCGTGCGAGTAAACTAACTTTAAATTTGTTTAATTAAAGATATAATTAGATACTTAGGGGGCTGTAGCTATGTTTGATTGTAGATACAGTACAGATTTAGCAAATTCGAGTTATAATGGAGCCAATAGGCCCCAAAGACACTAATGAAGCGCCAGAGAATTATGAAGAAAGGTATCTAAGTGAAAGAAAATTAATGTAAAGCAGTAATTAAATAAATAAAAAGAATAAACAGATATAAGACTGGTACATTAGATATTATAGTCAAGTTATACAAATGTAGAATTAGTGGAGGATGAATTATTCCTTGTCATAACATTCTGTTACACGCATATAAAACATCAAGTTAGTAGAAAATATTTAGTTACATTGTTTTACAAAATTTAGTAGAATTATAAATCAAGTGACAATTAACATAAAGCACTAAATAAATAAATAATAAAAATAACGAACAGACACAAGACTGGTACATTGTGCGTTAAAGTCAAAATACAGGACTCACCATCCTTACAAATAAGACTCATTGACTCACTGAATAAACAATTAAACTTTTATTTCCTTTCGATATCATTTGCCATTGGTAACTACGCAACTTACTCGAGAGAACCAGTGGGCATCTCGGCGTCAGGTGGCTCAGCTTCGTAGAACACATTCTTCAGAGCTTCCAGGACCGTGACGCCATCGGTGAACACTCGATACGTCAACAAAAACGTGTTGAGGAAGTCGATGCTGAGGAACCGCAAATCGGTCAGACGTTGGAGTAGACGCTCTGGCGTGGCCGATCGAATGTGAGGAACCTTGCATGAGTTCAGAGTCCTGCTGAATCGAATGTCGACGTCGTCTTTGAACAGCTTCGGGTCGTTCTTCATGGACTGTGGCATCGTGACGGAGCTGGTGTCTGACAGCGAGCCGCAAAGAAGGTAATCGTTCACGTGCACGTTGTCCATGCACTGGCTGATGTCGCTGATCCAGGCAGCCTTTTCCTACAAATTATGTGTCCTTATGTATTAAATATACATATATATACATAATTTATGTATATATACATAATTATACATATTTATATATATATATACACATAATTCATGTATATACCCCATATATATATATACATAAAAAATCTTTGCACTTGTGTGTATCTATAATGAAAAATTTATTTGGATACTATTTATTTAACTGAATTAAATATGTAGCATTTTAAGTGCGGTCGAGAGTCGAGACCCCTACTGTGCTTCCTGGTCTCGCAGATTTTCTTATACCGAAAATCAGTACACTTTTACGCGTATTGTCTTAAAAAAAATTGTTACGGCCAATAAATCGCCCCCCTCTTGCCATTCAATATCATATCAGAAATTTTTTTCGTATCTTTAATAGGTTACGAAATAATCGGCTGTCTAGGATTTCGTGGGACATGCTGTATATATATATATATTTGGAATACATATTTGGTCAAACAGTAAAAATGTATATTTTTAAAAATATATATTATTACAGTGGAAAATATATATTTGGAAACTATTTATTTGACTGAATTATATATATATGTACATATATATTTAAGTTCATGTTTTCTTCAGAAATGTATTATGACGTAATAGTTTCCTATTTTTTTTAAATTTACAGCAGATGCACATACAGTCAGTCCCATAAGTATTATATCTATGTTTGTTAAAGAAATTTGTCTAAAAATTAAAGTACAGGTTTGACGTCTCCAAATAAATGTTTCGTTATAAATATGTACATAAATAAACTTTACACTTGTATATATCAATTATAAAAAATTTATTTGGAAACTATTTGTCTGAATTAAATTACAGGTTTGATGTCCCCAAATAAATGTTTCGTTATAAATATGTACATAAATAAAGTTTACACTTGTATATAAGTAACCTGTCATTTAATTCAAACAAATTTCTCTAACAAATATAGAAGGTTATTGGACTGACTGTATGCATATTATAATTGATATTTTTTTGGAGATACTTAATAAATACAGGGGGTCCCAAAAATGTTGAAGGTCCTTGAAGAGGACCAAGAGGTTCAGAAGGTGATTTGAAACAACTTTTTCCTTAGCGAAAATATTCTCCGCGGCTTCGTTAAGAAGATATTAACAGAAAACCTCGACCGATCAGAGCGCGGCTGTCTAGCGCGTAGACTACGCCACTGCGGGCGCTCCACCGTCATACTCACGCTCTGATTGGTCCAGAGTTTTTTGTTAATATCTCCTTAACGAAGCCTCGGACAACATTTTCGCTAAGGAAAAAGTTGTTTCAAATCACCCCCTTTTCACCCCTTTCACCCCTTTCACCCCTTTCAATCTTTCAACCTCCGACATTTTTGGGACACCCTGTATATTCTAGTGAACCTGTTGGGATTGATTAGCGTGAACGATACCTGTATAGTAGGAGCAACAAGGTGCACTGTTGCTTGGGGTCCACCAGGTTTCAAGTCGACTATAATCTTAAAATCACGGTTCTGCAGCTGAGAACTGGCACTTCCGCTACCACTTCCGCTGCTCTCGCTGATTCCGCTGGACATCGAACATACTGACAGTTCTAAAATCAGTTCGCAGTCGCGGCAATACTACGGTTAATTATGTACAAATTATCTCAATACACCTTTATTTTTCACAACAGATCAGCCAATGCGTGATAAGCTGGCGCAGTTCCTAAATAAAATAAGCGTGAATCGTGACTAATCGATGCAATGAACGTGATCGATAAAATTGAAAATAACAACAAATAAATGAAAATAGAAACTTCACCCCCCAAAATTTGAATTTCATTTGGACGGTGTTTGAAACTTCACTTGATTGTTTTTTAATGAAATGTGTATGATATAAAAACAAAGTCTATTTTGATTTTAATTGGCCACCCCAATTTTATGAAAACAATATCAAAATATTGTAATGTTAACACATACTCTTATACAACACACAGATTTCCACATGAATTTTTTCAAAACAAAATGCCATTTAGGAACTTGCTGAAAATTTGATATGTTGTAAAAATCGAATTTATTAATCATATAAGAAAAACAAACAATTATTAATTATAACTCTATAAGTATAATTTGTTAAAATCTGAAACTGTGGCTGAATCAGTGAATGAATCATATCATTTCTCAAGTATTACGAATACATGTGTAAATATACGTACTGATATTTTATACTTTTTACAAAAGTTTCAACTATCTTGTATTTCAAATCGAAATATAATTCATATCCAATTTGTTAACCGGCAAAGTATCGAAAGAAAAGCCGCCCCAAAAAATAAAATTAGAAGAAATGTAAATAAATGTAAAATTATGAGAAATAAAAAAAAAGTAAAAGTAAAATTAGGAGAAACATAAATACTGTTGTCATCAAACTGCTAGAGGCTCCTACGAATCTTTGTTGAATCATTATTACTAGACTGAAAACCTATATAAAAGTATGTTTTAAATTCTAATTATTATAACATGTACATCATTGTCGATATTTTATATATTTTTTAATTTGTACATATTCCAATAAATTTTCCCAATAAATAAATAATTTTTTTATCTATTATAACATGTATATTATTATTCTGGTATTTTATATATTTTTTAATTCATGCATATTCCAATAAATTTTCCCCTATTTCCATTTTCAATAAATTCGTGAAAATTCGCAGTCTATTTATTATAAACAATTCGCGCCGATTTATTTTTTGAGCCATGCATTGCTAGCTGCAATAGCGGTGAATGGATCATATTAAGCTTATTTTAGTAACAATATTGCCAAAATACCGTCATCATCCGCTGTTCCCTGTTCGTTGGGGTCTTCCACTAGGACTGCATCATTAAGGGGTATTTTTCCGACTTGAGGGACGAGATTCAAGCGGCCATCGTCGTCTGACTGACGCGTTGTTAGTAACAAATGATTGGAAAATAGAAAGCACTGTCTGACTGCTTCTTTATCACCGCTACTTTTCCCTCCGAATGTTGCGCTCAATCTACTGCGAGCACCCCTTGGCTTGTCTAAGATTTGGACCAGTGCACCTGAAAGAAATAACGTCATTAATATAAAATTTGTAATAATGATAAAATTAATGATATTAAAATAATGATAATAAAACAAAATTTATAATAATGATAAAATTAATGGCAATAACGAATGATTTCGAAGATTCTTCGAGGCTACATGAAACATTGAAGAGGATTCAAATCGAGACCTTGAAAAATAATCCTTGCTCCTGTTGTAAAAAAAACAAATGTTTACTTTTAGGATTTGTCACACGTATCTCGAATAAATAAATACAATTCTTGTATTATTATTAGCGTAGAAAATCATTATGAAATTTTCTATTGTTTATTGTTATAGTATATAGTATATAATAGTTATAATCTATTGTTATAGTATGAGTTTATTCAATCCTTTTTAAATTAACTCATTTAGTGAATCATGATTTGTCTTCGAATTAAATTGTACATTTAATTATTATTAATTTTAGAATTCAACAGAATTTTTGACAAGAAGTAAAAAATATGGTAGGAACTCCGGATTGTTTGAAAACAAACGCATTATCGATTGATGCACAACAGAGCAATCAACATTCTATTATATTTCCACAGAAAATTCTTTAGTTTTCAAAAATATTTAATACCACCATCTAGAATTTCCTGATAAATTAATTAATTAATTTCTTCAACTTTGAATTTCATAATTTTGACAAATACCGAAAAACTTCGTAAAATATGTTACACCCACGCCAACTGTTAATTTATTTATTAATTTATCAAAGTATGCGTCATCAAAAAAAAAAGAAATAATTCTAAAATATATTCCGCACTCTTACTATTTTAAAGTTTCATAACAATTATGAAAAATGTATACATTTCCCAACTAACATTCCATTTGCTCCCAGCAATATTTAACAAAAACCCAGGATTAAAAAAAATCTCTAAAAAATTCCATCACGAAAAATAGAAGGTCGTTCAATATTTACGAACACTGTCTCAAAACAACAATAATAACAACACAGGAAAAACATCGAATGTAAAACTCCGGAACTACCTGAACGTTTTTCATCCCTAGCAACACAATTTCCAAACTTGTTTGGTCCACGTTTGGCACGACATATCTTCTGACAAACGCACTACACTAAATCCACCCTGATCACATTTTCCAAGCACGCTTAACTCGCACCTATCGAACCGCAAAAGGGAGCTCGAGTCTGCTCGTGTTTATTCACTTCTTTCATAGTTTATTCTATTTTTCTCGGGAAAAAAACTCGAATTGTCGGAGAGATCGAGCGTCGTTCAGACCGAACTCTAGACGCGCAGAATTTTACAATTTTTGAATGAAGGAGAAACTTTCCACGGGTGGGGCTGTCCCTTGTAGCGGCGAAGGTTGTTTGCATGGCAGCCATGTGATACGGCGCCAAACTCGAGGAGCCAGGGCCATGTTGAGAAACCAATTCCCCTGCTCTTACTTTAAATGAAAATGCTCGAAGGATTTTTAAAATTTCCAGGTATAACGCCTGGATCGGGTATATTAGAATCATTGGATCCATCGATGACTTTCTCGAGACACACACACTCTAAATCGAGTGGAATTTTAACTTGGTAATTGTTATAATACTCTATTCAAATGAGAAGAAACTTAGGGTTGTTTTTAACTATCGAGAAGGAAAATAGTGATATTTGGGAATTTTTTTTGAAAATGCTAAGCATCCAATACTAATATCTCCAAGATATATTAAAACTAGGTACTTTAAAAAGTACTTATGCCGATTTTCATAAATTTATGTTAATTAATATAGAAACTATAATTATTCTCGTAATACTATATTGAAATTTCTAACTCGCATGATAGAATGAAAACTAACTGTGCATTATTAATATTTCCAAGATATATTAAAAATACGTATTTCAATAAGTACTTATGCCAATTTTCATAAATTTATGTTAATTAATATAGAAACTACAATCATTCTCGTAAAACAATACTGAAATTTCTCTATAATTCTGTATAATTCTTTATAATTTTTAAAAATTAAATAAATTCATTTTCGAATAAAATCGATGTTATTTGTAAAAACTCTAATAAATTGTTTTTCGAAACACTTTTCCTGTTACAGCCCTGATAATTACTCCCGCGCATGATCAAACGTATGCGGCGTAGATTACGTACACGCGAACACAACCCCATCGATTCCGAGAAGCGCAAGGGCGCGCTTGCGCTTTCGGTTTCGAATTTCTACGCTTTTCGTCGACTTCCGCGTCGGATCTTCAAATTCGGCTTATCGACTGTCGAGTCAACCTATAGATTCCCTAGTCGCTAGTGGCGGGTAATGGGCGATGGAATTTCGTTACCGACCTTCGTGATAAAAGGGAAAATTTAATTTCCGACTGAGGGAAAGAAGAAATTTACCCGAAGAACTCGAATTTAAAATTAAACGACGGAAAGTAATCTTGTTTTATTTTAGTTTTTCATTTTCTTGTTAGATTTTCTTTTATTGTAGGTAGACTGCGGATGTTATGCAAATTCATATTTTTATATATGCATACGAGGAACAGAAACTTGAATTGATATGTATTTTATCTTCTAAATATTGTGACCTGTGTTTTATTTTTATATTTTACGTATTTGTGCGTTTGTTCGCATTTTTGTATGTCTTTGTGGGTTTATGTTTGTCACGAATGCATAAATATTCTCAGTCTAGTTATATATTTTCCACTAAGGCTATAATTTTAAAGAGGAAAAGAAAAAATTTGTTTGATCTGGTTCTAATTACTTAAGAGATATATCGGAAATAGTTACGAGCGATAGAGTTGACAAAGATTGATAATAATCAATAATCAAGACGGATGAACGTAATTGGACACATCATTAATACCAATTGCTAATCAAGATTGACTTGATGAATGAAAGTTCATGAACATAAATTTAAACCGAGAAAGATTAGTGAGTATTGGTGAGGATTGATGAAGCTTGAGGAAGAATGATGAAGATGATTGCTCAACCTGTCTCACGAAGACTTAATAGACAAAGATTGTTAACGATTGGTACGAATTCACAAAAATTCGTAAATGTCACTGAAAATTCATGAAAATACATTTAGATTGACGAAGCTTGATGCGGATTGATGATTGCTCACCCTGTCTCACGAAAACTTAAGTGGCAAAGATTGGTAGCGATTGGTACGTATACACAAAAATTCGTGAATGTTACTGAAAATTCATGATGATAGATTTGGATTGATGAAGCTTGATGAAGCTTGATGAAGATTGATGATTCCTCAACCTGTCTCACGAAGACTTAACCGACAAAGATTGGTGACGATTGATACGAATCCCCAAAAATTCGTGAATGTTACTGTAAATTCATGAAGTTACATTTAGATTGATGAAGATTTGCGAAGATTGGTGAAGATTGATGAATGCTCACCCTGTCTGACGAAAACTTGGTTGACATCCAGTAAAATGTCACATCCCTCCACGATCATTCTTTCCACAGCTAGATTCTTTCTCAGGTTCTCGGTTTCGCTCACCTACAAAAAATGTACAAACCAAAAAGCAACATATAAATTACTGCTCTTCTCGTGGATAAATAATTTCAAAATGGATACTGGTCTCGATGACTACCTCGTCATTCATTTGCTTCGATAAATCTTCCAACTGTTGTCTCGCGTTCTGCAGACTCTTGCGTTCCACGTGATCGAATGGAGTGTGAGCCAGAAGCTCGTGTAGAGTGATTATGTATCTCGGAACCTGAAGAAATATGTTAGGAAGAATAATATACTACACAAGATATTTATGATAATATAAGAGCACCTTTGAATGAAATATGAAAGTCAATAAACTAATTCTTTTATGAATCAGAGAAACAACCCCACAGCAAGAGAGGAATTCTACAGGGTGTCCCACAAATGTTGGTGGTCCTTGAAAGAGGTGGTTCAGGAGATGATTTGAAACAACTTTTTCCGAAGCTTGGTAAAAAATAACTCAAATTCGTGGGAAGACTGACTTTATGCATATTATAATTACTATTTTTTTGGAGATACCTAATAAAATACAGGGTGTCCCAAAAATGTTGGAGGTCCTTGAAAGGGTACAGGAGGTGATTTGAAACAACTTATTCCTTAGCGAAAATGTTATCCGAGGCTTCGTTAAGGAGATATTGACAGAAAACTTCGACCAATCAGAGCGCGACTGCCTAGCGCGTATCCTACGCCACTGCGGGCGCTCCATAGGCGTACTCGCGCTTTGATTGGTCGGGGTTTTCTGTTAATATCTCCTTAACGAAGCCTTGGACAACATTTTTGCTAAAGAAAAAATTGTTTCAAATCAGCTCCTGAACTACCCTTTTCAAGGACCTCAAATATTTTTAGAACACCCTGTATATTAATCCTTCTAGACCTGAATTTTTTTCTCGTATTACTGTAATTTAATTTTTAGGGTTAATTTGGACTAAAATTAGTATGGTCAAAATAAAAAATAATCCTGACAGTGTGGTTTTCGAGGAAAACTGGTCTTTCTTCGTGTAAAGAAATTAAAAAATTTGCCCTAAACAATAGTGTTGGTAGTGTACGAGTCTTATTTGTGTCTTCAATTGTGAACACCAGGTCTTAAAGGGTTAAAATATTAAAACTATTACAATAAAGTATACCTGATTCATAGGATATGTTAAAAATGTCTCCAAGGAACGTCCACCGCAAGCAGGTTTGTTCTCCAATCTAGTGAGCAACGCAGCGAACGAAGGTGATTGCTTGCACTCAGTCAAAACCTGAAGACTGTAGTGGTGATTGCGGACGAACTCTTGATAAATCGACAACATTGGTAGCAGCATGTCGAACAAATCACCTGAAATAATCCGAAGAATCATTTTAAAACCCTTTTGTTTGAAGGAGAAAGTATATTACAAAGTCTTTCGAAAATTCTCTAAAAATTCGGAGGTGTACCTAAAACTAACGTGGGCCAACTCTCCATACGAGATGTGAGACCCTTCAGGAATATTTGATGGAGGAACAATACTGTCTCGCTGTTCAGAAATATACTATTCACGTCCTCGTGAGTGCACGGAGGCTTCTTTGAACTCGCAGCCATCTTGAAAGGCCTTAGAAAACAGGTGACTAGCATCTCCATCTGTTCTGCGTACTCCTCCTCAGCCTCCACCATTTTAAACACCAGGCTGAAACGTAGCGAAACATTAAACATTACCGTGGTTAATTAAAATAGAATAGTTTGTTGACAGTGTAGTGAAAAATTAAATTGCAGAAGTGGGGAAGTTCCTCGGTCACCCAAAGTATGTATATGTGTTATATTTCTTTTGAATAAAATGTTAGGTTATCCCAGAAATGTCTTTAGTTCTATTATATTAATAAATAGTAGACAGAATTTTATGTTTTGTGTTACATTCATGAAGTGTATATGAGGTTGTGTATTTATATAAACGCTGCCACATAAAGAAACTTTTGAGACAACCTAATAATATAATATAATAATAATATAATTATTATTTGTGTGTATATATTATATAAATTGTAAGAAAATTATATTATTATATGATTATATGTATATAATGTATATACATAATTATTATATGATTATATTATATACAAATAATAATTATATTATTACTATATTATATTATATTATATTGTATTGTATTGTATTGTATTGTATTGTATTGTATTGCATTGCATTGTATTGCATTGCATTGCATTGCATTGCATTGCATTGCATTGTATTGTATATATATATATATATAAAGTTAATAACTTTTTATTGCCGAAAATAGAAAGAAAAACACCAAGAGGAAGTCTTTCATTGCACAATTAGTCAAAGTGTCCCCGTAATAGCGGTTGTCTGACAGCAAAACGGGAATATGAATTTCGTTTCAGCGCTAACTACTCTCTCGGTAATTAACCTCCCTCTGTACTGAAGACGTAGTGCTATTAGCCAATCGGTCGCGTAGTAGAATCTAATGAGTTTCAGCTTCAAGCAGTCATTACTTACGATACTCCCACAGGGAAAAGAACTCGTACGCGAACCTCTATATTCCAGGTGAGAACAAACTATGTAGTTCCTCACTCTCCCAATTTCGCAATTAATTACGTTCAGAGACTAACTCGTAGGGGTTATAATACACTCCTGTTGATTCTGATGATGTTTTAACGTACGTATAACGCTGATTTATTCAATAGACTCGATTGGTAACAGTGTGGAATATTTCAGGGGACATTTTATATAATAAATTTGAGGTTTAATATATGAAAGTCTACATATTTAATTTTTTCGTGGAGTTTTCACGCAGATTTATCTATAAGCGAGGCAGTGCTAAATTTTATGTTGAAGTTTCAGTCTGTGACTGCAAATTTTGTCAGAGAATTATTACAGAATCGAGTTTAAAAATCATAAAAATAGAGAAAACATCATTTCATGTACCCCTAACGCATACAGTCAGTGTAATAAGTACTCGTACAGGAACCAATTCAAAATGAAACTTCATATATTTATTTTATTAATAAATCGTACGGGAAGAAATAATTAACCAACATTCCTACATATTTTTAGAGTAGAACTTGCATAAATTAAAGTTTATTATTTTTAATCTTAGCCTCTTATTTCTTTTCTTATTAATCTTATTTTAATTTAGTTGTTGTACGAATATTTCTTACACTGACTGTATTTATCAATGATCGAGGCAGTCCTATATTTCTCGTAGAATTCCTTCAGCTCTGCCCTTAACTGAACACAGTGTTTCAACAAACACGCATTTCCGGCGCAACATTTTCTTAAATTGTTTCGAAAGTGGTGGAACTCGAAAAAAAAGTTGGAAAAGAAAGTTTATCCTCACCTGTTTCGCTTCCTCATGCTCTCCGCGTGAGGGCTCTTGATGTACTGCTCGACGATTTGTTTCCAACGCCTGCGACACAGCCATCCTCTGAAAAAGCTCTGAACTTTCTTAATTTTCTGCATCTCCAACGATCCCTCGGTGATATCCTGCAGCCCAAAACCTGAAACTCCTTGGCCGCCGTCACCGAACAAAGATCCTGATCCACCGCCTTGGGACATTGCCCTTTGTACACACTGCCTCGCCGCGTAGGTTACAGACGCGAGTCTTGGCTTTTCCTTCATGGCGAGCAACTGTGAAAATAAACAAACGGAATCCAAGCGTAACGGCTTGCGAGCGGAATACCTCCAAGGATAACACCCTCGAGCGGGTGCTAGGAATGCGTGACGGGAGACTGGATATTGTGGACTACCTGAAGACGTTGCGCTACATATTGGACGTGACGGTGAATACGATTCACGGAAAGGAAGAGTAAGTGATGATTCGACTGCGGATTTGAATGCATTTAGAGGAAAGTTGAATGTAAAAGTGCGCGCAGTATGGAATAATATAAGGAAATATAGAGAAGATATTGAAGATATTGAAAATATTGAAAACAGATATTATAATGTTTGTAGAGTAAAAGAAATTCCTTTTTAGGTTGAATTTTTTTGGATGTTTGCAATTTTATTTTTTATAAGAATCCACTCTCTAACAATAATGAACTTGAGTTTGCATTATTGAAAATGTTGAAAATGTTGAAAACATTGATTATATTGAAAATGTTATAAATATTCAAAATATTGAAAGTATTAGAAATATTGGAAAGATGAAAATATTGAAAGTATTGGAAATATTGGAAATGTTGAAAATATTGGAAATATTGGAAATGTTGAAAATATTGAAAACACATAGTATAATATTTGCAGAGTAGCATAAACTCTTTTTTGGGTTCCATTTTTGTGAGTATGTTTGCAATGATTTTATTTTGTATAAAGATCCACATGACCTTGGGTTTGCATTAAATCGCGAAACATTTTGCATAGTCACTGACAAATGCCTGGTGTTTATTAAAATATATCAATTTTTTATTTGAATATTGTGAGATTTGTATATGTTTGAGTGAATCTTAGTATACCACATCTGACATAAAGAATATCTTATTAAATCATCCCTCCAATGTTTAAAATATTATTAAAATAATACGATATAATAATTACAATAATATAATAAATTTCGTTAAACAGAACCAACTGTTGAGTAAATCAGATATTAACAGTTATCGATGCAACTGTAAACAGTGATAGTTAACGGACCAAACTTGACTACTTGACAGCTACCTCCCATTTACGTCAGCGTAATGCAATAAAGGTCACGTTTGTAATTGACGTAATCGATGAGGTGTACACGAATGAGGTTTCGTGATATGATTGGACGGTATACCTGATACCCCTAACTATAGCCTTGTGCTAACTGTTCCACCCAATTTCCTGTCGTATTGAGATTGAAAATATTCACAAATTTCCGATTATTTAATTTTAGAATTTTCGTCGATGACTTCCTAGTTACATGAACACGGAATTGCTTTTCAATTTACCTCTGAGCGAAGCTTCTTCACTTCCGATGCTAAATCCTCGCATTGCCTTGCATATTGAGATTTATCCGTCTTCTCGCTCTCAATTATCTGCAACAGGTGCAAATGCTTCTGCTCGAGCTTCTCCTTCTGCAGCAGCAATTTGTTGAAACTGCAATCAGTAATCACGTCGTTGGTGACACAGACGTCTCCTCCAGTTTGCGATACAAATAAACGAAATTACGTCTCGTTACCGCCAGAGATTAGTATTACATTAACACTAGGTTCACAAACCACAGTTATTTCAATCCATTTCAATTCGTAAAAACCTGTGATTTATATTTTTTCATATTTTGTATACTTTCAGTTTTATATTTTTCCCGAACTATGCTGACATTTGTCCCTATAAAATGGCAACGTATATCCAAATTCATTTTTGTTCGAGACACCTAATTAATTTTAATGAATCGACTTCGTTTATTAAAGCGTTACTTCGGTAATAGAAATCTACTAAGTAGACTGCAAATGTTTATTTAGTTGAAGGATTTACCATCAGAGCGCTCTGGATTGCCAACAGAGTCACCTGTTTCATCGACAGGCGTTCTACATTACCAGTAGATTCATTATCGACCAAGCGTTCTACATTACCAAATCTTATCGACAGAGCAAACTACCAAACTCCCGACAGGACATGCTCTCCTCTTTCTTCGCCTCGATATTGTTCGAATTTCGTACAAAATATCGCCAATTTCGAAAATGTGGGAAAATTTATGAAAAGGTCCACGAATGAAAATATATATAAAATATCAAAAGATGAGACACACTTTTTTTTAAATTTCGATTCATCATCTGAATCCGTAAAAATACGAATTTGCATAAACATCAGTAACTGATAAAGATCTCAATAAACACAGTGTTAAACATCCTACTATTAACCATCAACTTTGACAAATAATTTCAAATAATTTCTGTATTATCCTTGCAGCTCGTGTGCTGAGGATAAATCTCTCAATCGTGTTTCGCTTCCCTTCTTTTTTTCTATGCGACCACCTTAATGGTTTGTCTTGTCTGGCGAACGTGATCGCCATGATGATTCCTCCAGATGTCTGAAACGAGCTCCGTCTCTGCGTGTGTCACTGGACTGGCGCGTTTTTTATCAGCCTGCTTTCTTTCGTCAATAAAACATAATTTTTGGAATTACCTTGTATAATAGTATTCAAGTTGTCCATTTAATTAACGAATAGAGAAAGAATAAATAAAACAGTGTTTGGTCAGTGGGTTCCATTGTTCCAAATCATGGAAAGGGTTTTAATCACTTTGACTGCCATTTGTTTCATATGAGAGATTAAAAGCATTTTCTAATATTACAGAATGAAAATGCTCGGTGCACATAATAAATTCTATAAAAAACGTCCACGTTTAAGGAAATTTCTACAATAAAGTCTCCGATATGAATGATAAGGAACTTTTTCGAAAGCTTGATATACTCGTTATTTACAATATTTGAAGTCCTACGTTCTCCTTTCCTTTTATCCTTGTTATTTCATATCAGCCAAGTTTGCGTTGCCATGACAACCAGTCAAAAAAACATACAGAGAAGAGTAAACAAGCTGATGCATTTTGCAATATTTTTCAATGTAAATTCTACCAGAAGCCGTGTTTATTTATGTCTTTAAATCTCAGCGTGTTACGTAGATTCTAAATTAAAAATCCTCCACTCTCTACTTGTTTCTTCTATGAATAGAGGTTACAATTATTAAGCTATAATTATCTCAGTTGAATACCTGGCTTCTCGAATGGCATCGATCCAGGTCTTGCAGTCGGACTCCGTGGATGCTTTCAAGTCGTACTGTCGCTGATTTTCCTTCCTGTAGGATATAGTGAAACAGTGCTGAAACAAACAATAATAGGAGCACAGTTAATACGGGTAAATATTGTAAAGGGAATTGCAATTAAACGCTATGTAGTTGAAGGATTTACCATCAGAGCGCTCTGCATTGCCAACAGAGTCACCTGTTTCATCGACAGGCGTTCTACATTACCAACAGATTCATTATCAATCAAGCGTTCTACATTCCCAGTAGATTCATTATCGACCAAGCGTTCTACATTACCAAATGCTATCGACAGAGCAAACCTACTCTACCGACAGGACATGCTCTCCTCATTCCTCTTTCTTCGCCTCGATATTGTTCGAATTTCGTATAAAGCATCGCTGGTTATCCCCAATTTGGGCGATGCTCGCGTATATCAATCGAAATCGAGCACTCCGCGCGCAAGCACTGCCTTTCCAGGTCGACGGACGAATCAGAGCTGTTCAGCTGCTGAACGCTACTGAATGCCGCAGAACAAATACGGCAGAAGGTCAAGCGTATCCGCAAACAGTCGAGCCTCTCTCCGACAGGCGAAGAAATTGGAGCAAAATGTTCTGAGTAAATATTTAACCACGGCCAGGGAGAAAATAGTTTCCCAGCTGGTGAAAAACAATACCTCCTGGTTGTCATTGTTTATTCATGAGACATAAAAAATTTCGTTACGCAACGATACTGTGATACAGGTAGAAAAAAAACAATATTTCTTTTAGCTCATTATTTAACAAATCATGATGGTATTTTTTTCACAGTTTACAGTCTTAATTTTGTAATACTTAAGAAACAATATGTGGTAAAAAGAGAACAATATTTCTTTTCACTCACTATTTAACAAATCATAGTCGAGTTTTTTTCACAATTTACAGTCTTCATTTCCTAATATTTTAAAAATAGTAGGTGGTAAAAGAAGAACAATATTTCTCTTAACTCACTATTCAACAAATCCTAGTGCAACTTTTTCCCTAGTTTACAGTCTCAATTTTCTAATACGCAAATAAATATAATTTTCAAAATTTGCTTCCATTGTAATTGTAATATCTCTTGCATCGTTAATGGATAATTATTATACATGTTTATAAGCCTCGTTACGTAGGAATAACATAATTTTATTCGAGTAAATCTTCTTTTCTCTTGGAGAACTATGAATATTCCGACTACTACAGATAATATAACTTGCCGCGTGAGTTTCCCTTTTTTTCAGAACATTTAATTCGCTGCTTTAAATTCCTAATCCTTCTAACATCCACTCGGCATCACCCGCAAAGGGTGCCTTTTATATCCCGCTTTTTCCAACATTTAAATCTTAAATTTGTAATGCATTCCACACGAGGCGAGTGAATTTCTAAGCAAATTCTTTTCCCTTCAGTAATTTTCACTCTGTTTCCTCTCAACGATGGCGGACAAGTGTTTCTCTGTTCTTTACGCGTTCTTCTCTGCTGAAGGATAAACGAAAGAGGCATTGCCAGCTTCATGAATAACGCTGAAAACGATCCTCGAGAAGTTTAGAACTTGGGCGTGGAAAATGTGGGAAAATCGTAAAACTGCGGTTTTTGAACTTTTGTTTTTTTCTTTTCGTTTTAAACCAAATGATCAAAAACGGTTTTAAGGGTGGAAACATCCCTTCGGAATAATTTTAGTTATTTATATTTTTGTTCATACCTTTAAAAGCATAAGAGATACCGAACGAATTTCAAATACAAAGTTCAATGGTTTTTACCGTTGTATAACATCGAAATAAGAAATTGAAAACAAAATTATTTTTAATAACATTTTCCCTGCAATAAATCTTTCCTCCACCCGCGGCATAAAAATTGTGTTCTCGATTTCGTGGACGTTTCCATGCTGTACAACTTTCATCTAACCAATTTTATTCTATCTGTTATCAAAATCGAGTTACCGTACAATGTACTGTCTGCCAGGATTCTCGACTAAAATTTGAAAAAATCATGACTCTCCATTAGCCAAACGGATTTCAATGATCAAAACGGGAAACTGCGTATCGGTGAATGAAAAAAAAAAATAAAAGTACAGAACTGCCGATAGGGTCAATTTTCTAGTTTTTTTGGCGGAAAAAGTATATAAAAAGAGGCCTAATTTACAAAAATTCATAACTCTGTCAATAATACACATTTTATAACAAAACTTTTTTTCGTTGTAGATCGCACGATATCCTACAAAAAAGATATAGAAGGTTTTCCTCTAAAACGAAACCCCAATTTTTTAAAAATAAAAGAAAAATTTTTTTAAGAATGTGTAATGGGTTGGCTTTTGTGGTTTCAGAGATGTCAAATATAAATGAATTTATACCACCATGAATTTTATTCCTCCAAAAATTCAAATTATTCGACATGCGACAATCGTCGAAATTCCATTGTGCGTAATTTCGATGAACGAGTATCTACGGGCTTCGAATTCGAGAATTCCTCTGATTCGCGAGAGGATGAGTGAAATTGTTGCTGCGTTCTATTATTCGTGGAAGTCGAGACAGACTTAAGAGAATAAGGTTGCGAGGCAGCTGAAATCCTGTGACGTTGAAGTCTGGCGCGGGGATTACCAGTGCCACTCGTCATTATTGAGGCTGAATACGGGATTACCAGCAGGCATAGCCGTAATCCGCCTAACATAACACGCAAAGGGAATTGGAACAACGGAGATTAACAACAAACGCTCCAGAAGTGCTCTCCGTTTCGTCGAAAGCGCCTCGGTTCCTCTGCGATAAAGCGGCGCGTTTAAAGGGGCGTCTTTGTCCGAAGAGCGCCGGGCACCCAGTTAATTGGACGTGCTTATTAAAACTGTATCGATTAATTTTCGATCGTGTCGAAGAACTCTACCGTTTCAAGATTATTTCAACGAATCGGTTTCGCAATATGGCCTCATTGAAAATGAATCAAGCAATCGAGGAGGAAGCATAAATGACGATACCAGTGAAACTTGAGCTATTGGGCCCACATACTGAGAATTTAATGCCATCATTTCGGAGTGTACAATAATAATAATAAATGTCACGGTTATAGAGCGATTTAACGTGTGGTTCATAACGAACACCTGGAATAATTTCGTATTGTTGGTGGAGGAGTCTCTTAAGTAGTATATTATATCCAAAAGTGGTTTAAATGGCAAAATTTTGGTTTTGCAATTTTATATAGTGATTCTACATCCCAAAAGGAGAGGAAAATAAAGAATGGCGGAATTGTGTTGGAGACGTGGTGTTCGAGTAATTAATTGTTGAAAGTATGCGTCGATGAATTATTGACTCGTACTACTTACATCAAAACAGTAGTAGTAGTATAAAGCGTCCCACAGACTGCTCTGACGAGGCGTGGACCCACGTCATAGGACGCGTGATATGAAATTCTAACATAGGGTTTCACGTGACGACGTTCACATTACCCTGACGTGACGTGGGCTGATGCTATCTGACGAAATATGCGTTCTGACGCGTCAGGAGCATATCAAACCTACTAGATTTTCCGTGAGCGTTGGAAGGCGTCAGGAGACCGGGTGCTTTCTAGAATCCTGTTTTCCATTTTCAAGAGATAAACTAATTTCAAAAACATTAAAACTGCACTAAAGAGTATTAAAAGAATTTCTAGTTAATTTATATGAATTTATATGACCACTAATTTATATGAGCAGCTGTAAATATAATTGCTTAAAAGTACGAAAAAATGCATTGAAAAGTATGAAATAATTTATATTTAACTGCATTATCCACCAGATCTTGTAGAATTATTGAATAAGGAATTTTTTTTATTGAAAAACTTAATTTATATAATTATTTACTTATTTATACCAATATTTATATTAATTTTAACGAAATTGATTTGATTAGTTATTCTTCTTTCTGTAAATTTATATACATTAAAATTATTCATATTGATAATTATATGTTTAGGAACTAACCCTTTTTATACAAAGTGGTTGAGCTTCTAATTCAACTTATTCTTTATTATGATCAAAGCATCTTATTGCTCAATCAGTTTCCTATGAGGTAAGATTATTTCTTATATTATTGTTCCTTTGACAAAAAAAGGTGTTAGCGATTTGATGAGTGATGCTTGCAGTACAGGCTGACGTATTCGCTGCTTCTTCAGGTAAAAAATATCCGAATTATGTGATGTTTGATATCATTTTTATCGGAAAAACATAAGGAATCCATTGATATTACTTTCCCGACAATCTGATGAAAAATATAAACATTTTATGTACAGCAGTTCATCATTTTACGATGGACTGCCCGCCTTTGTTCTCGGCCGAGCGCCTACCTGGGGTCGCTCAAGGGTCTGGGATCGACTCATCAATTTCTCATGAATTCTTTATTCTTCATCCAATCCACGTGAACGTGATGGCATTGTATTCTTGGTGTTCTCCCGATTAAAATGATATCTCACATCGCGTAAATCGAACTATTTTTAATGAAATAACTTTTCAATTATGTAATCAGATTTTTTATATAATTTCGTTAATTATTGTCCAAATTATGTCATGTGTGGTACCATTTTCATCGCAAAAACATCAGGAATCGTTTGATGTTGTTTCCGCAAAGTTCTGATAAAAATTGCGGAGATTGGTATTTTCATTTTTTAATGGCGTCAATCTGACTCCGCTTCATGTCTGACATGGACCCACGGAGCCTGATGTGACGTTGGCCCACGTCGCGTCAGTGCAGTCTGTGAGACGCTTAAGTCCGTCATGTCAGACAAAATTGTCAAAATTTTGGTTTCTCAATTTTATATAGTGATTCTACATCCCAAAATGAGACGATAATCAAGAATGGCAATATTGTGTTGGAGGTGTGCTGTAATTAATTGTTGACAGTATGCGTCGATGAATTATTGACTCGTACTACTTACAGCAGAACAGAAGTAGTATAAGTCTGTCTAGTCAGACACAAAAAATATTCTCAATTCTTGATACCATTTGGCCTGTAAAATTCTTTCTGCATCCCAAAATATATCCACCGATAGCTCGAACCATATAATAATTTTTCAAGGACGATTTTAAGTAGAACACTTTGGAT